CCGTTACCAGTTTTAGTAACATCCCTTATTTCGTCCAACATAGTTGAGAAATCAGTTAATAAGAAAACAGAGATTATGCTTACTTCACAGTTTATCCACTATAATTCAGACTAAGATTTCCCACGAGATTACACTGAAACCTCATGGCCCATGATTGACGTTTCACACCGGAAATGAAAATTGAACCCAGTAAAGATATTATAATAACTAGATTCAATCACTTAATGACCAGCCGTGAGGTAATGATATCAGTATTACTTTGTTCAATTTATAGTGGTATTTGAACCGGGTAGAGTACAATTTGGTCCGAAATCTTACGCGCGAAAAAAAAATAGAAGTACGGATTTCAGACCGAAAGAGTTCGCATCTTTTTTGTTCTGTCGCACTGTTCCGCGGCATTTTGTAATAACAACGCATTTTATGATAACCTACGCAGATGGTCGCGGCATTTTTTAATAACTAACATAATTTGTAATAGGCACTGCAGCTTTTTCTAAAAAGGCGGGTATGTATTTTTGTAAAACCTTTTACAAAATAGGCCGTCGTTACAATTGCGCAGGACACGCATTGACTTTGTATGTCAGTAAGAATTAAAATCGTTTGCATTTTGTTTTAACATTGTAAAGAAATAACCCGTCGCATTTGCAACAACGCTTACCGCACTTCGTAAGTAAACCCAATGATAGCTTTATCAATGTGACAGCTTTATTATTACCAAGTGCGACACGCGTTATTAAAACTGAATGCGAAAAATAATATGAAGTGCGACATTTATCACATTATGGGACAGGTATTTCAAAAGCCGCCGATCATTTCAAAGTGCGACAAACAATTTCCGCGTTTGCGGATCAAGGAAAAAAAATGTCCTGCATACTCTGTCTTTCATTGAAGTTCATCGGAAATCAAGTCATATGCTTCAGAAACTCGCTCTTTTATAATTGTACGTAAATTTTCTATATGCCTCTGGTCGGAATAAAAAGAAAGCCAATAATTAATGATCAATGATAACAAAAAATGCCGATGTCGACTTAAATTATTCGTTTCCATAAAGTAAACGTTTTCAATTCAAAGTTCATAATCATGTTTAGATAAGGAGAGATAAAACTTGACCGCTTCTTTTTAAAAGCTTCAGGTGGTTCGTAAGTTTTCATTAAGTACAATGGAGGGCGACTCAAATTTATTTGCCCTTCACCGCTTCGGCAGTGTCAGAATCAAATAGGGGAAAAACTGAGAAAAGAAAAGGCTCAGATTTTGTAAAATCAAGTCATCTGTGTCAGAAATTCACTCTCTTGTAATTGTATGAAAATTTGCCTCTGATGGCAAACGACATCGAAAAAAAACCAAAAGAATGATAAAAAAAAAGAGTGCCGATGATGACTTAATGTAAACATTTTTAAATTAGAAGTTCAATAATATGTTCAAATAAAGGGAGTTTTTAGAATGCGCAGTTGGCTTGTTAGCTCAATTGGTAGAGCGCTGCACTAGTATCGCAGAGGTCAGAGGTCCGAATCCCGTACAGGCCTGATTTTTTTCAGGTCTGTTTTTCGCTATTGCTTAAATAGCGCTATCTACTGCGAGGATCGTGCATCATATGTGAATTACTTAAGTTCATCATGCTACTTCATTATTGCATCTCATATGTTTGCCAATCTTGATGACCTTATACTTTGCATAAACCAGTCTTCTTATTCTATTTAGAAAGGTGTTGTTCGTCTTGTCGCGAGCGTGGGACAGAGAAAAACTCTGAAACTCGAGAAAAACGGATTTCGCGTTCTTACTACCACTGAGCCACAGAGAACTCTGTGGTGATAAAGGCCGTCACTCGATTCACCTTTTACACGCATCATGCAGACTGTCAAGATGAGCGATGTAAAAGACGTCAATCACGCTGACAGCATCCCAGCTAGAATCAAGACAGAGGAAACAGGATGATAAATCCTTAATCAGAGGGAGCGCGGATCACAGTGTAACGGGTATGCTTACATGAAGGGTGAGCTCTCATGCACTGACAGACGAAAAAGTCCAAAAAGAACGGAAGTCTTCAGTTTGGAAGTTAAAGGAAAGCGCTATTGAGTTGAAAAACTCGGAACAAGTACTGAATTTGTCGTCTCCTTGCTTTGCAACAGGAGTAGCCACCGGTTCAAGCGTTTGGCCAGGCGAGCCATCAAAATGGGTCGAGCTCAAAAGATTTTGGATCAACTGCAAAACTTCCTTGAAAAATAGTTTACGGAAAATGACAAGCCAGAACGTTTGGTTCGACTTGCGCTTCGTTAGTTTTCTTCTTTGTTTCTTTAAGAGATAAAATTTGAAAATTTGTTTTCAGCTGTGTAACGGGACTAAAAGCAGCACTTTATAAGACGAGATCGAGTTGTCCTTCAAATTGTCTTCCTGAGAAGTTTACCAATAGGTGTACTCGATACAGGATATCATCTTCACCTGGATTATTGTTAAAGACTAAACAAAATGAAGGAAGAAACACATCAATCACTACATCAAAGATATGGCAGATGCATTAGTTCAAAATAACTAGATCCTGAAGGCTCAATCGTCAACTTTCTCTCGTGATGAAAAATTCACACAACAGCAGATGAAAATGAAGCTACGTTTTCTGCCTTTAAAAGCACACACAACCCACAATTCCTCAATTCGCTCCGACGAAGGGCTAACGCTCGAAACGTCAGCTTTTGTAATCGTTACGGTGGCCAATTTACCATTTCAACTTTGTTGATATATCCAAATTATTAAGTAATAATTTGTCCACAA